TGTAACTGTAGAGGCCACTAAGTCACTTGTTAATTCTCTGGTCACTTCTCGATTAGATAACTTTAATTCACTTTTAGTTGGTTTACCGTTAAAGCTTATAGATAAATTACAAAAAGTACAGAATACTGCGGCTAGACATGTTACTTTAACTAAGAAATGTGACCACATAACTCCTGTTTTATATAATTTACACTGGTTACCTGTTAAATATCGAATTGATTTTAAGATTTTATTACTTACTTTTAAATGTTTAAATAATTTAGCTCCTGTTTACCTCTCAGATCTTTTAGAACTTTATACACCTGGCCGAACATTACGTACATCAGATAAACTACTTTTAAAGCCCAAAACTGTTCAACTAGTCTCCTATGGTCAGCGCTCTTTTAGTTATCAAGCACCTGTTTTATGGAATAATTTACCATTTAGTTTAAGATGTTGTACATCTCTGTATTCTTTTAAAAAACAACTTAAAACACATTTATTTAATCAGGCTTTTAACTGACTCTGTATACAATCGTTAACATGCCCATAATCTTGTTGTTTATGTGTGATTTACATTGTCACTTTGTAAAGTGCCCCTGAACATGTTATATGAAAGGGTGCACTATAAATATGCTGTAATAATAATAATAATAATAAAATAATTATCTCACCACCTGGATTCAGACTAGTAATTATCTCACCACCTGGATTCAGACTAGTTTTTATCTCACCACCTGGATTCAGACTAGTAATTATTTTACCACCTGGATTCAGACTAGTAATTATCTCACCACCTGGATTCAAACTAGTAATTATCTCACCACCTGGATTCAGACTAGTAATTATCTCACCACCTGGATTCAGACTAGTAATTATCTCACCAGCCTGGTTCAGACTAGTAATTATCTCATCACTGACTTCAATCTTAAGATCATACCATTCCGTGGCTTGTAACAGAATTTTTTCCTATCATTCCGATGATCTTAATCTCTATAACCAAAGATCGTGCAATATTTCGCAATCATCTGGTCAAAGGAATCTACGGATTGTTATTTTGTAAGGTGATTTTCTTGGTCATCGTTCCACCTCAAAATAACTAAGATTCGCCAAAACCTGCCAAAAATTGTAAATTCAAAAATAATCATGCAAATGGATCGATGAGGGGGGGGGGGATAAAAGGGGGAAGCTATCCTGAAACTGGGGGATATAATAACTAGACTTTAGCCATCTTCCACATAATCTTTGCATATGAGGGTTTGGTGATCTAGCATCTTGCTTGACATGCAGCTCATTTTTCCATTATAAACGGCTTTGTTATTAACCGTGGCACTATACTTTACTTGTCATACTCTGTTCTGTTTCGTTTGACAGCTGGACAACATTTTCCATCAAAGGGGATTATATCCTTTACTTCACCAAACATCACTAGTTTTGTTTTTCCAAATTGCATAACTATGGGAACCTATAAGGGTCAATGATGCGATAGATATCGGGATATTATAAGGAAATGTTTCATCATATTGTGATTGTTGCGAGGTGTTTAACTCTCAAAAGACTTTTTACTGAGTTATTTGAATCAACTTGCTACGTTATGTGTAGCTGTTTTCTCTTAAATGCAGTATAATAACGCGGTATCTATCGCGTTATTGGCCCATATGCGATTCCATACATTACCTCTTTCATTTAAATAAATCTAAACTTTTAAATTTAATTAAATATGATGTATCCATTTAGTTTGCAAAGCCGATATCTGTGTAAAAAAAATAAAATAATTCTTCAGCTTTGCATGTGTTCAGCTGTCGACACTTTAAGCAAAGCAAAAATCTTAAAAGAACTTTTGAGTAAATTACTGACACGGAAACATTAGAAGCATACATCTTATCTGATCAGCTACTGACTTGAACCTTAGGATTAACCCAATTCAATATTTTATCTGATGACATCGTCCATCATGCTTTATCGATACCGTTCATTGAAGTCTAATTGCAAATCATTCAGTTGATTGATCAAGGTGACTTAACAGACCTGCACAGATTTAATTATGTTGTCGACTGATGTTGCGAGCAGTTCGTGTTGTGGACACGGTACATACACGTTCTAGACTTCTACAAGTTATGTGGCTATTTTCTACTTGCAAACGTTTTAACATTAACAATCGAGTTTAAAATAGAGAATAGTATAACGACACAATATGACACTTAACACGATTAGACTAAGTAAATTTGTAATTCGATTTGTCCACAATTTACTGGTTCGCAGTAGGACTTGTAACTCGATTAGACTAAGTAGATTTGACCAATATTTACCGGTACGCAATATGACTTGTAACTTATGGAGACTAAAACTCGTATTCACATTAAACACAACATGAATCGTGATTAACTTAGTAAATCATATTTCATATTGCTTGATACTGTATGAATAACTCGAATTTAGAATAAACAGATCATACGATCACATTATAACATGGGAACATCAAGCAATTCTAAAACTTTAGAATATGCATATCATATTATAACATTCGAACATCAAGCAATTATAAAAATTTAGAGTATGCAAATCATATAACATTGAAACATCAAGCAATTATAAAACTTTAGGGTGTAATTAATATATTGATGAACATTATAAATTATTGAATAAATTGAATTTTGCGGTATAAATAAAATACTATATGATGCTGTTGAATAATAAGTAATCATTATTTCTATTGACAGTTTATTGTGTAGATTTATGGCGAATGATAACCATTTTTAAGGTGATTTCAAAATTCAGTATTTTGGCTTGCATTGTACCTTCGGTGATTTATTCTAAGATCATACCAAGTTTTCAAATTACTATAAAATTATCTTCTTTGACATATGAACACAAGGTTCAATTTTATGTACACAAAATTACTGAGTTTAATACTAAGCGACGTTTCGAGGAGGATACTCTTGTCTTTTTCAAGCAAATGATGATAAAATTGTACACCTTGTGTTACTATAAAATTAATTGTGAAGGTACCATAGGTCAGACATGGCTACGTTCTTAATGTTTAATATACCTAGCTATATCTAAGGAAAAGGACAAGGAAACAAGTGTATTGATATTTATATTATTACATAATTGATAGAATTTAACGTATTACGGGGGTGGGTATTATATTTATGGGGTATATAAATTGATCGCAAACGTTTATAATAACTATACACAAGAATTAAATAAAATAAGTCTTCATTTAACAATACCACTATTATGTAGTGTACAATAACACGATTAATTAAGACGTAATTTCACCTGTTAGTTGACGTCAACTACAAATCTTGGCTGAAACATATATATTATGCAAGAGCTAAATCTGCCTATCGCAGGTCTTTCTTTGGGCCTGAAATGTTATATAAACTATTAATTAGACATTTCTTAACTCATCCAGACCATAACCAAATCTCGATGGCATCGGATACTCGAGATTTTAACTAGATTAGAACGGTTCGCCATTTAAAAATTTAATTTAAAAATGGGAAAGCGAGGCTAAGTCTCGAATATACCAGTGCCCTGGTTACCATTATGCACTCAGAATGAAGTAATTTGAATGAAATTTTCAATATTTTCCTTTTAAATTATCTATTTTTAAGCTATTATAGCAAGAATGGTAAACTCTTTAAATTTTACATAATGTATCTTTAAATTTTATGTATATATAATATATACAATCATATTTTTGAGACGTTGAATATTGGATGACCATTCCCGCATGTCAATATCGAATAATCTGTTTTTCAAGTTTACGAGATACATCTCATAAGCTCAGTAGTAGCCTAATATAGTTGCCTAATGTATTCTACCAGCAATGGCATGCTTTCTTAATATAAGCTAACATATAGTCATGCATATCATATTCACCCTTTAGTGCTACATAACAACTACGCTTATGTATTTGAAGAACGAATTTGCGAATCTGAGACACTCTGGATATCCTTTCTATATTAATATACCCATATTTCAGCACCATAAAACATAACAGTGGAGATAAATGCATTGGCATTTAATTAATATGGAATCGTGTGCAGCTTTGGGAATGATATTTTAGTTATCGCCTGAAAAATCAATATGGCTACAAATTTCGTTACCAGTAATATTTCTTCTGGCGAACTAGCCCGCCGAAATAACTTAAAGAATTTGCAAACAATAAATGTTATCCAAGTGCTAGACCGTTAACAACTGCGATACCAATTCTAAACGGTTTAATTTGCCTGGCACCGAGCGGTGCTAATCTAAAATTCGTTAGACCGAAATTAAAACAAACCTCGGAAAGGGGTCATTTTATGGTTTACAGGTAAAAGTATGATTTTGTATTATTTATTTAGATTCTGTTATTATTGATACGGGGAACCATGGTGGGTAAGTGGGTAAGACGTTGGCTCGCAAGCCTGGATGTCGCGTGTTCGATTCCTACATTGGCTGAGAAAGTTCATAGGGATTTCCCGACGTGGTTTCCCCTTGTCATTGGTGCAGGACGAAAGGCCTGACAAGGACAGCTGTTTAGTCGTTCGGATGGGACGAAAAACCGAGGACCCGTGTATACATTGACGTGCACGTAAACGATCCCTTGGCAGTTGAAATTCGATATGAGTAGGCCATAGTACCACTGCCCGGGCAAATTTTCCCTCCTAGCACATTCATTAACCCTGCCGGAGCAGACCAATAGTACGTTTAACCCCATTTCATTTCATTTCTTATTATTAATACGAGTCGATACAAAAAGAGCACATGTTCTTTATAGACTAGTTTTGTTTTTGCTTTTTGGGGGGTTGGGGTTGTTTGTTGTTTTTTTTTTTTTGGGGGGGGGGGGGGAGGGGATGTAAAGAGGATACAGAGTAGACAGTCCTTCCACCACAAACAGATAAAAAAAATTTCCTGCAAAAGGTAGAAAGAAAAAGGGTGGAGAAAACCTATTAACAGAAGGGTAAAAAAAAACTCAGTGGTCTGAATCCACCAGTTTATTCATGGGTCGTAACTCTATTTTTCATGTCAACAACAAAACAAAAGTAGGCCAAGTTGTTATTATCAGCGATAGAGGAGATCAGTGAATAGTTATTGTGAAGTTATACCCTGTTATATTGAATTATCGGACTTGTTAGAGTCCAAAGTTCTTCGGTCATGATGGGGAACATTTTAGTAAAGTCTGCAGCACTTGATTTCGGCATACAATGGGGCTGTTGGGCTGTTGCCGCACTTCTCAAAACAGAGAAATTCTACGACATGGCAGGTGAGTGAGTGATATTTGAAATTTGATCAACTGGTCTACTTGTAGTTATAACAATAATAGAAATATATATCCCAGTGTTTATATCTTTTTAAATATGTCAAAAATATATTGGTTATATAATTTATTGTCTTTATGCTTATATAACCGTTATACTTGTTTATTGGTGCAGGGGAGGTAACTCCAAAATTAAAAGTAACATAAAACTTTTTTGCCTTTGTTTTTGGGGGTTTTTTTTAAATGTTTGTTTCGTTAAATATATTATAATATAAATGAGTTTGACGAAAAAGTTGCTGAGGATCTTTCTCCTTGTCGGTGACCTAGGGTTCTGGCAATAGTGTCTGCTCATTCGAATGGAACGAAATCCGAGTCCGAGTGCAGACGTTGGCGTGCATGTAAATGAACACTTGATAGTTTAATGACAATGTGCAGGGCCCTTGAGAGGAAAAAAAATGTGTTGGGGCGAGATCTTATTCGCCCCCCCCCCCCTCCCCCTTCCAGCACTAGTCATATCTAGATGATTCTCTAGCGGATTGCGCTAAAGCGAAAACTTTTGTACATACTTATAAGCTACAAATGAAGATTAAAAAAATAATTGCCCATTTCAGTTTTGAACTTTGATATTCATGGGCCCCATACTCTTATGGGCCCTGGGGCGGCGCAACTGCTGCATTCCCCTCCCGTAATTCCTGTCTAGTCGAAAACGTCACTGCCGGCCACAATTCACTCATAGCATACTATACATAACATGATCTGTCTTCGTTAGTCCAGCTAGTGCATAAAAAGTAGGGCATTAAACGCCATTCCAGGTTTTTTTTCTGGATTGAAAGTAATTTAAGTTTAGAAACCAACTTTCTTAGTGATTTGAATTTAAAATAGCCAATTCTCTAACTCAATATCATCAAAAATCTTCGACATTGAAAACACGAATTATTTGTCAATTCAAATCAACATTGGTCTTGTGATCTTACAGGGAAACGATGGGCCTCTGATATCCAATATTCAAGACAAAATAAACATTTTACCATTGGTACACGAATCGTGTACCATAATGCGTTTCAGCGCCATTTGGAACAAGGGACTAGACAGGGCTAGACATATTCCACAAGTCATGTCAAATGGTGACGCTATATTCTTATCTGGAGAGCATGCGCAATAAATACCATCGGTGTAGACTGGAAAAACCAGACGCTAAAGATTGCCATTCACATGAGACTTCTGGCGTATTTCGCCGAACATAACTGATTAGAAATTACAGTAAAAACAGAAAAGATTGAATGTAAATCAGTTTATATACATTATTACATTATTATTTGCGTTGCGACCCATTTTTGTCAATTTCTAGGTCCCAAATATTAGCGACTTAGCTCCTTTAAATAAAACCAGCACAAACTGAATTTAAAGGAGCTAAATCGCTAATATTTGTAACCAAGAAATGGACACAAATGGGTCGCAGCGCATATAATAATGTAATATGAATGAATAATTCGTGTTTCCAATGTCGAAGACTTAGCAATATTAAATCATGTGTGCGTTTGGATTCGAGCCAACTAAACAATAACATACCTTTTGATCCAGAGTTCAATATCCAGCAATGATGTCACTTGTTCCAGTATCACTTCCAAAATTATTTTAATAAAGATGGACATATCCAATTGAATCGCCGGATTGTATAACAACGAATCGTTAATTGGCGACACACTTAATGCGGTGTTTTCAACAACTGTTGGAGTTTTATATACATTAAAATAAATGTTATAATATATTATTTAGTATATGAATAATATGTTTGTAATTTCAGGGAGTGCGACCTTTGCCCTGTTAGCATACCAGTCGCTGTCATCAGGTGGCCAGTTCTTTCTACGACAGAAGATTAACACGGGGCTAGTTTTAACCTGGGCTTTGAGGTCAGAACATTCAAACATTATTAATCAAATCTTTCCTTAAAGAGAGAGAGAGAGAGAGAGAGAGATGGGGTTTAACGTCCACTCGACACAAACTAGGTCATTTCGGGACTAACATATGGTTTAATTTTTTTTACATAATTCGCTTGCGCGTAGGGGTCTTTAGCAGTGAGGGGAAACCGGAGGACCCGGAGAAAACCCACGAGGTTGGACAGGCGACCCTACTCCTTTCCTTAAAGAGTTGGTGGGGTCGTCAAATGACTTTAGATAATAAGGTATTGTAATGTGACATGATTCTGACCCTGAGCTTGTACGTGATTAGAAGTAGGATCGCTGCCTAAATACGTGGGTTTTATCCCAACGTTAAAGCTAATTATTGACGCTAGTCCCTTCTTTGTGTTGAGTGGGCGTTAATCCACAATTATTTCCATTTCTTTAACGAGAAGAAGGGCGGGGTCGGGTGGGTCGGCTAGAGTACACTGGTTTCATGTCACATGTACCATGATGAAGCTTCCGTATATTTTAAGCCCGGTTCCTACATGTCACGGATAACAATTGTAGGTATAAACAGGAAAGTGTATCTAGTCGTTAGGATGGGACGTAAACAAATGTCCTGTGTACAATTCTGATGGTTCAGGGTTATTTTGTATTTTGTATTGTTTCAGATTAGGATCGTATCTATAGTAACGAGAAAAATGAAAGATGTTATTTTGTTGATGTTTAAGATTAGGATCGTATCTATAGTAACGAGAATAATGAAAGATGATTATTGTGTTGATGTTTCAGACTAGGGTCGTATTTAGTAACTAGAATAATGAAAGATGGAGAAGATAAAAGGTTTAATAACGTGAGAGATAAACCAAGTATCTTCTGGATCTACTGGACAATCCAAGGTACGTTTAACTAACATAATGGAAATCAAACCAAATGGGGTTTAACGTCCTACTTTCTACACCAACCGGGATAGTGCAGAAACACATGCACCATTATTCCCGAAAGGTTGCGTTTCCGCCTACTGTTTCTCGAACTGCGAACGGTTCTTTTAGGTGCACGTTTCATCAGAAGGGCAGGAAAATTCTAATAACTTTCTTGGCCAACACACTGGTTGGGGGCGCCAGTGTCTTACTCATTGGGCGATTGTGGCTCCGCTGCTATGTGGGTGGGTGTTTTTTTTTTCAATAACTGAATTTCGCACAAAGGTCTTTGGAAAGGATGGGGATACCTGAAGATTACCTACAACATGGGATGGAACCAATGACCGACATAGAGTACATGACCTGTGTTGTACAAGCACGCGTTAGACCGACTGTAGGTTTAGCACTTAGGATCTTAGTCAATATTGTAATAAAGTTGTTCTGTTACTTTAGCTAGCCAAGCTCTTTGTGTATTGAAATAAATGGATAGTTTTATCAAGTGTAAATTTATTTTGTTTATTAGGTGTATGGATATTTATCACTCTACTACCAACTTTAATAGTGAACAGTAAACAACGTGATAGAGATCTAACTACTAATGATTATATAGGCTGGGCGATCTGGGCTCTAGGATTCTTCTTTGAAGCTGTTGGGGATTACCAGAAATCAGTGTTCCGAGCAAACCCTGATAATGCAGTAAGTTTTAATTACAGCCTTTGATCGTTATTTGAGGGATTTTGTGGGTTTGTAACTACAATACTATGAAAATAGACTTTATAATAGGAATATCAATCAAAAAATGGTTCAATTCTTTTCAATATCTTTACAAAGATATCATCAATAGAAAATTTGTCAACATTTGACATCCTCTTTAGATGATAGGAGCCATGGTAGGTCGGTCGGAGAGTAGGACTTCGACTCGCTAACATGGAGGTCCTGTCTTCGATCCTTACGTTGGCCGAGAAAGTTCATTGGGATTTTACGGCGTGGTGTCCCCTTGTCAGTGGTGCAGGACCGAGAGTCTTTCAAAAGACAACGCATAGTCAGTCGTTCGGATGGGACGAAAAACCGATTTGACCTGTACACATTGGCGTGCACGTAAAAGATCCCTTGACAGTTGGAATTCGATATCATAGCACACTGCATAACGTATGCCAGTCTTCATTAGCCCAGTCGGAGCTAGGACGTTAAACTCCATTTAATTTCATTTCTGTATACGATGTGGTCGGGACGTGGTCAAAAGTCTGCGCCATCTGTAATTTTCGCTAAAATCTTTGAATGTTCTCTTTCATCTGACTGAATCCAAGCCGAGGGGTTAGCTACCGTAGATATTTTGTTTTTCTTTTCGTAATTAAAAGTTGAATAATCAGTTTGAGTACATTTTAGTGGAGATTAACTTTAACCTTATATGGACATAACTGAACTTAAAGATGCATTCCCACGAAAGTATTAACAGGGCAGTTATTTCCAATAAAAGCATGCCAACTTTTATATGGAAAGTAGAGACAGGCAATCTTACTACTGTAGAAAAATGCTGGATCCTGAAAAAGACAGGATAGGACAGAATTGTCGAGTCACGTGACAAACATGGGTGTGTATATATATATGTATTGTATATATTATATATTTTACAGGGTAAATTTATCAGCACTGGTTTATGGAGTATTTCCAGACATCCAAATTATTTTGGTGAAATTTTAATGTGGTTAGGAATCTACATATCGTCTACTTCCGTTCTAAAAGGTGTTGAGCATATTGGAGTTATCTCTCCTGTGTTTGTAGCCTATCTGTTAACGCGAGTTAGTGGAATACCTCTACTAGAGAAATCCTCGGCTAAGCGATGGGGTTCATCACCAGCTTATCAACAGTACGTTAAATCCACAGCTAAACTTATTCCATATATTTTCTGAATTAACAATGAACGATCTCGGGTTTCCCAATTTTGTATATTACAAGATGTCCTCTAATTATTATTTTTTTTTATTGTTCTGGAATTGTTTATAATAAAAGTTTACGAATTAAATTTGGCTGTGTGCTGGTTTCTGACTCCCTCCGTCCAGCACGCGATCTGTTGATTAGATGTTAAAACTATATGACAATCCCACTGTCCACCACTCGACCTGTTGATTGGATGTTAAAACTATATGACACTCCATCTGCCAACCACGCGATCTGTTGATTGGATGTTAAAACTATACGACACTCCCCTTGCCCGCAGTTTGATCAATACCCATATCGTGAATCACTTACTATCTGTTCCAGGTGATACTACGACACGAAAATGGCTTGCCATTTCTCCAATTTTTTTTATTTAAAACGACTTAAACGTAGTGACATACCTGGTATTGTAACCCCATTGCTTTCTAACACCAGGGGACCCATTTCAGATTGGTTTGTTTTCATCGCGCTACTGAACATCAGCCATATTTGACCTAGTATTCTGGAACATCCCAAGAAGACTGGGAGTGTTAGGTTGACTTTGAGTCGTTTCGGCCTACTTGGATGATAGGGTAGTTGTTTCGGCCCAGTTGAATATAATAACTTTTAAGCGCTTTTTACGGGTTACCAATTGACTTGAATATTTTATTGTCCCCAGTCCAAGGGCTGTAACGTTTGGATTTTGATATAAATTACAAACAAAGTTTAACCTGAACTGACACCTGATGGACATTTAGAAGGAGGCTATACGACATAATATGCAAAAGACATCGTGGTTTGCATAGTTATTCCCTTGCTTAAAACTTTACTTTGAGTTTTGGCTGGAATGATGATCAAAGTAATTGTATATGTAACTTAATTTCTCATGAAACCTAAGTAAAACTATTTTTATACGTCCAGATTCATAATGTGGACGTGTTTTGTCGTCGTCCCTGTCTGTTCGTGTGGGTGTGTGTGTTTGTTTGCATATTGTAACTTGTCAGGACCCGAACTTGACAGCACACCAACCATGTGGCGACCTTTTTCATTGTGGGAACTTGCCCAGGTATTCACAACGTTACCAATTGTAGTTTTTGTGCAAATTTAGGCATGTCCCCACATGTGAGCAAACATCGGTATTTTTAGACATTCCTTCACACAATTAACAAAGCCCTTGGAACTCCGCTTTCAACTTGATTGAGTGTGGGCGAGAATGATATCCAATCAGAATGAGCCTTAAATTACGCCGTCTCTAAATATTGACCAATCAACAACTTCTTGGCATATCAAGTCCCCACAGAAGTGGCAATACTTGGGCAATATTAAGCACTGTGACAAGCATAAAATGACATTTTTCAATGAAATCCTTTCTATTTACACCCTGTGGTTTTTCGCTCAATTGAAAATGGTCGCATTTCATTTTGGCTGAACCGGAAATTTCCCATCTATAGGAAGGTGGTGTTAAAATTTCAGACTGCTAGCTCTGCAACAATAATGAAATTTAACCCTTCTCAATTTAGTGAAAAAAAATACATCTTCGATCGAAATAGGCATTCTTTTTTTTACTAAAACCAGCCGTCCCGTGGGACTACTTCATTGAAATTTTCACAGTGTCTTCGTACTATATACAGGAAGGCGGAATTAAAATTAAGAGTTTTGGAGCAAATCCGATTTTTTTAGCGACCATGGCCCACGTTTTGTTGAAAAGGGTGTTTTTGGACATAAAAGCAGCCTTTCCATTTGCCAAGGGCATTGAAATTGTCACAGTTACGTCGTACTATATGCAGGAAGCTGGTATTAAAATTTAAGAATGCTAGCTGAAGTAGAACTGTACATGTGACAAGCCTAAAAAGACATTTTTCAATCAAATACTCCATATTATCATATTATATATAGTGCGTGGTTTTTCTTTCGCTCAATTGAATATGGCCGCATTTCATTTTGGCTGAAGCTATGAACCTAAAATAGGGAAATAAAGCGTTAGAGAGCAAATCCGATATTTTGGTTTTTTTCACTCAATTGAAAATGGTTGCATTTCAATTTTTTTGCAGCTAGCAGCCTGAAATTTTAACACCACCTTCCTATATATATTTACATAACTCCCCTTTTATCTTCAACAATCTACACTTCTTTGACCCGACTTGTTGCCGATTCGTTGAGACAGGATCATTAAAATGAGTCTGTCCGTCCCTGTCCGTTCGTCTGTCTGTCTGTCTTTCCGTCACACTTTTTGGGACACAATAAGGTGAGCATTTTCTGCTTAGGCTAAACAGAGATAAGCAATAGGATTTCTTAATGTTTTGTAGCAAGATAACTTTAGTTCTAATTAAGTGAGAGTGATGGAACTTGGTGTATAGTGTCATTACATCAATACCTTGACTAAGTCAGATTATGAGCATTTTCTGCCCAGGATAAGCAGAGCGATAAGCAATTTAATTGGTCAAGACTTTGGAGCTCGATAACTTTCCTTCTAACTAGGTGAGAGTGGTGAACCTATATAGTTTCATTACATCAATACATTGACTAAGTTTGATGATGAGCATTTTCTGCTCAGTCTAAGTAGAGACTTAAATCTGATTGGTCGAAACTTTGAAACGCAATAACTCTCCTTCTGAGGTACAATGTTCAAACTTGGTGTAGGCTTGACAGTGTTCGGTCATGTGCATTTCCACCAATATAAGTCTGAGCAGAGGTAAGCAATGTCATTGGTTAAGACTTTGGAACATAATAACTTTGGTTCTAATTGGGTGAGCGTGATGAAACGTATTGTATAGATTCATTATATCAACACCTTGACATAGTTTGATGATCAGAATTTTCTGTTTAGGCCAAGTAGCGATAAGTAATTTGATTGGCCAAGACTTTGGAACATAACAACTGCTTTTAATTGACTGAGTTCAATGATTAAACGTGCTAATGATGATAATAATAATGATAATAATAATAATTTATTTTTAATATAGCGATTAACATAAAATCTCAAAACGATTGACAACAGTTACATAGCTAAAATGAGACAGAAAAGTAAAAGGAATGACACTACCAAGAAATGAAAATAACAATGGTGCTCAGATAAAGTAAACCTTTCTAAAAACAAAGAAGTGTTTTAAATGATGATTTAAAAGAATTTTAATTTGTAGACGCGTTTTTGTTTTAAAAAAAAAACATTTTCTGGTTACTTTGGTAAAGATAACTACGGGTTTTATTCACCTTTTGTCGTCTACTGCCATACGACGTTGAAAACACCAGTTCTCGTCCGATCACTGAAGTTAAGCAACGTCGGGTCCGGTCTGTTTTATTCGCCATATGTTATGATTTTGCTGATCATTACTCCCAGACAGATGCGACTTTATGGTCTTCACACTGGGGCACAGAAAGACCCCCACTAACATCCCCAATCACCACTATTTTCATCCAAACTCTAGGCTCGCCACAAGTGACTGAAAATTGACCAAAAAATGACCCGAAAAGGGGGAAAATTGGCCAAAAATCGCCAAGAGACTGTATTTCAATAAAGGTGAAATTTTGAGATCGGTCCTTCTGACTGTGAAATAATCAAGTTGAGTCCATTACCCCCCCCCCCCCCATATGATGCGTTAAAAAATGATCAAAAATTGTCATCAATATCACCAATTGAATCGCCGGATTGTATAACAACGAATCGTTAATTGGCGACACACTTAATGCGGTGTTTTCAACAACTGTTGGAGTTTTATATACATTAAAATAAATGTTATAATATATTATTTAGTATATGAATAATATGTTTGTAATTTCAGGGAGTGCGACCTTTGCCCTGTTAGCATACCAGTCGCTGTCATCAGGTGGCCAGTTCTTTCTACGACAGAAGATTAACACGGGGCTAGTTTTAACCTGGGCTTTGAGGTCAGAACATTCAAACATTATTAATCAAATCTTTCCTTAAAGAGAGAGAGAGAGAGAGAGAGAGATGGGGTTTAACGTCCACTCGACACAAACTAGGTCATTTCGGGACTAACATATGGTTTAATTTTTTTTACATAATTCGCTTGCGCGTAGGGGTCTTTAGCAGTGAGGGGAAACCGGAGGACCCGGAGAAAACCCACGAGGTTGGACAGGCGACCCTACTCCTTTCCTTAAAGAGTTGGTGGGGTCGTCAAATGACTTTAGATAATAAGGTATTGTAATGTGACATGATTCTGACCCTGAGCTTGTACGTGATTAGAAGTAGGATCGCTGCCTAAATACGTGGGTTTTATCCCAACGTTAAAGCTAATTATTGACGCTAGTCCCTTCTTTGTGTTGAGTGGGCGTTAATCCACAATTATTTCCATTTCTTTAACGAGAAGAAGGGCGGGGTCGGGTGGGTCGGCTAGAGTACACTGGTTTCATGTCACATGTACCATGATGAAGCTTCCGTATATTTTAAGCCCGGTTCCTACATGTCACGGATAACAATTGTAGGTATAAACAGGAAAGTGTATCTAGTCGTTAGGATGGGACGTAAACAAATGTCCTGTGTACAATTCTGATGGTTCAGGGTTATTTTGTATTTTGTATTGTTTCAGATTAGGATCGTATCTATAGTAACGAGAAAAATGAAAGATGTTATTTTGTTGATGTTTAAGATTAGGATCGTATCTATAGTAACGAGAATAATGAAAGATGATTATTGTGTTGATGTTTCAGACTAGGGTCGTATTTAGTAACTAGAATAATGAAAGATGGAGAAGATAAAAGGTTTAATAACGTGAGAGATAAACCAAGTATCTTCTGGATCTACTGGACAATCCAAGGTACGTTTAACTAACATAATGGAAATCAAACCAAATGGGGTTTAACGTCCTACTTTCTACACCAACCGGGATAGTGCAGAAACACATGCACCATTATTCCCGAAAGGTTGCGTTTCCGCCTACTGTTTCTCGAACTGCGAACGGTTCTTTTAGGTGCACGTTTCATCAGAAGGGCAGGAAAATTCTAATAACTTTCTTGGCCAACACACTGGTTGGGGGCGCCAGTGTCTTACTCATTGGGCGATTGTGGCTCCGCTGCTATGTGGGTGGGTGTTTTTTTTTTCAATAACTGAATTTCGCACAAAGGTCTTTGGAAAGGATGGGGATACCTGAAGATTACCTACAACATGGGATGGAACCAATGACCGACATAGAGTACATGACCTGTGTTGTACAAGCACGCGTTAGACCGACTGTAGGTTTAGCACTTAGGATCTTAGTCAATATTGTAATAAAGTTGTTCTGTTACTTTAGCTAGCCAAGCTCTTTGTGTATTGAAATAAATGGATAGTTTTATCAAGTGTAAATTTATTTTGTTTATTAGGTGTATGGATATTTATCACTCTACTACCAACTTTAATAGTGAACAGTAAACAACGTGATAGAGATCTAACTACTAATGATTATATAGGCTGGGCGATCTGGGCTCTAGGATTCTTCTTTGAAGCTGTTGGGGATTACCAGAAATCAGTGTTCCGAGCAAACCCTGATAATGCAGTAAGTTTTAATTACAGCCTTTGATCGTTATTTGAGGGATTTTGTGGGTTTGTAACTACAATACTATGAAAATAGACTTTATAATAGGAATATCAATCAAAAAATGGTTCAATTCTTTTCAATATCTTTACAAAGATATCATCAATAGAAAATTTGTCAACATTTGACATCCTCTTTAGATGATAGGAGCCATGGTAGGTCGGTCGGAGAGTAGGACTTCGACTCGCTAACATGGAGGTCCTGTCTTCGATCCTTACGTTGGCCGAGAAAGTTCATTGGGATTTTACGGCGTGGTGTCCCCTTGTCAGTGGTGCAGGACCGAGAGTCTTTCAAAAGACAACGCATAGTCAGTCGTTCGGATGGGACGAAAAACCGATTTGACCTGTACACATTGGCGTGCACGTAAAAGATCCCTTGACAGTTGGAATTCGATATCATAGCACACTGCATAACGTATGCCAGTCTTCATTAGCCCAGTCGGAGCTAGGACGTTAAACTCCATTTAATTTCATTTCTGTATACGATGTGGTCGGGACGTGGTCAAAAGTCTGCGCCATCTGTAATTTTCGCTAAAATCTTTGAATGTTCTCTTTCATCTGACTGAATCCAAGCCGAGGGGTTAGCTACCGTAGATATTTTGTTTTTCTTTTCGTAATTAAAAGTTGAATAATCAGTTTGAGTACATTTTAGTGGAGATTAACTTTAACCTTATATGGACATAACTGAACTTAAAGATGCATTCCCACGAAAGTATTAACAGGGCAGTTATTTCCAATAAAAGCATGCCAACTTTTATATGGAAAGTAGAGACAGGCAATCTTACTACTGTAGAAAAATGCTGGATCCTGAAAAAGACAGGATAGGACAGAATTGTCGAGTCACGTGACAAACATGGGTGTGTATATATATATGTATTGTATATATTATATATTTTACAGGGTAAATTTATCAGCACTGGTTTATGGAGTATTTCCAGACATCCAAATTATTTTGGTGAAATTTTAATGTGGTTAGGAATCTACATATCGTCTACTTCCGTTCTAAAAGGTGTTGAGCATATTGGAGTTATCTCTCCTGTGTTTGTAGCCTATCTGTTAACGCGAGTTAGTGGAATACCTCTACTAGAGAAATCCTCGGCTAAGCGATGGGGTTCATCACCAGCTTATCAACAGTACGTTAAATCCACAGCTAAACTTATTCCATATATTTTCTGAATTAACAATGAACGATCTCGGGTTTCCCAATTTTGTATATTACAAGATGTCCTCTAATTATTATTTTTTTTTATTGTTCTGGAATTGTTTATAATAAAAGTTTACGAATTAAATTTGGCTGTGTGCTGGTTTCTGACTCCCTCCGTCCAGCACGCGATCTGTTGATTAGATGTTAAAACTATATGACAATCCCACTGTCCACCACTCGACCTGTTGATTGGATGTTAAAACTATATGACACTCCATCTGCCAACCACGCGATCTGTTGATTGGATGTTAAAACTATACGACACTCCCCTTGCCCGCAGTTTGATCAATACCCATATCGTGAATCACTTACTATCTGTTCCAGGTGATACTACGACACGAAAATGGCTTGCCATTTCTCCAATTTTTTTTATTTAAAACGACTTAAACGTAGTGACATACCTGGTATTGTAACCCCATTGCTTTCTAACACCAGGGGACCCATTTCAGATTGGTTTGTTTTCATCGCGCTACTGAACATCAGCCATATTTGACCTAGTATTCTGGAACATCCCAAGAAGACTGGGAGTGTTAGGTTGACTTTGAGTCGTTTCGGCCTACTTGGATGATAGGGTAGTTGTTTCGGCCCAGTTGAATATAATAACTTTTAAGCGCTTTTTACGGGTTACCAATTGACTTGAATATTTTATTGTCCCCAGTCCAAGGGCTGTAACGTTTGGATTTTGATATAAATTACAAACAAAGTTTAACCTGAACTGACACCTGATGGACATTTAGAAGGAGGCTATACGACATAATATGCAAAAGACATCGTGGTTTGCATAGTTATTCCCTTGCTTAAAACTTTACTTTGAGTTTTGGCTGGAATGATGATCAAAGTAATTGTATATGTAACTTAATTTCTCATGAAACCTAAGTAAAACTATTTTTATACGTCCAGATTCATAATGTGGACGTGTTTTGTCGTCGTCCCTGTCTGTTCGTGTGGGTGTGTGTGTTTGTTTGCATATTGTAACTTGTCAGGACCCGAACTTGACAGCACACCAACCATGTGGCGACCTTTTTCATTGTGGGAACTTGCCCAGGTATTCACAACGTTACCAATTGTAGTTTTTGTGCAAATTTAGGCATGTCCCCACATGTGAGCAAACATCGGTATTTTTAGACATTCCTTCACACAATTAACAAAGCCCTTGGAACTCCGCTTTCAACTTGATTGAGTGTGGGCGAGAATGATATCCAATCAGAATGAGCCTTAAATTACGCCGTCTCTAAATATTGACCAATCAACAACTTCTTGGCATATCAAGTCCCCACAGAAGTGGCAATACTTGGGCAATATTAAGCACTGTGACAAGCATAAAATGACATTTTTCAATGAAATCCTTTCTATTTACACCCTGTGGTTTTTCGCTCAATTGAAAATGGTCGCATTTCATTTTGGCTGAACCGGAAATTTCCCATCTATAGGAAGGTGGTGTTAAAATTTCAGACTGCTAGCTCTGCAACAATAATGAAATTTAACCCTTCTCAATTTAGTGAAAAAAAATACATCTTCGATCGAAATAGGCATTCTTTTTTTTACTAAAACCAGCCGTCCCGTGGGACTACTTCATTGAAATTTTCACAGTGTCTTCGTACTATATACAGGAAGGCGGAATTAAAATTAAGAGTTTTGGAGCAAATCCGATTTTTTTAGCGACCATGGCCCACGTTTTGTTGAAAAGGGTGTTTTTGGACATAAAAGCAGCCTTTCCATTTGCCAAGGGCATTGAAATTGTCACAGTTACGTCGTACTATATGCAGGAAGCTGGTATTAAAATTTAAGAATGCTAGCTGAAGTAGAACTGTACATGTGACAAGCCTAAAAAGACATTTTTCAATCAAATACTCCATATTATCATATTATATATAGTGCGTGGTTTTTCTTTCGCTCAATTGAATATGGCCGCATTTCATTTTGGCTGAAGCTATGAACCTAAAATAGGGAAATAAAGCGTTAGAGAGCAAATCCGATATTTTGGTTTTTTTCACTCAATTGAAAATGGTTGCATTTCAATTTTTTTGCAGCTAGCAGCCTGAAATTTTAACACCACCTTCCTATATATATTTACATAACTCCCCTTTTATCTTCAACAATCTACACTTCTTTGACCCGACTTGTTGCCGATTCGTTGAGACAGGATCATTAAAATGAGTCTGTCCGTCCCTGTCCGTTCGTCTGTCTGTCTGTCTTTCCGTCACACTTTTTGGGACACAATAAGGTGAGCATTTTCTGCTTAGGCTAAACAGAGATAAGCAATAGGATTTCTTAATGTTTTGTAGCAAGATAACTTTAGTTCTAATTAAGTGAGAGTGATGGAACTTGGTGTATAGTGTCATTACATCAATACCTTGACTAAGTCAGATTATGAGCATTTTCTGCCCAGGATAAGCAGAGCGATAAGCAATTTAATTGGTCAAGACTTTGGAGCTCGATAACTTTCCTTCTAACTAGGTGAGAGTGGTGAACCTATATAGTTTCATTACATCAATACATTGACTAAGTTTGATGATGAGCATTTTCTGCTCAGTCTAAGTAGAGACTTAAATCTGATTGGTCGAAACTTTGAAACGCAATAACTCTCCTTCTGAGGTACAATGTTCAAACTTGGTGTAGGCTTGACAGTGTTCGGTCATGTGCATTTCCACCAATATAAGTCTGAGCAGAGGTAAGCAATGTCATTGGTTAAGACTTTGGAACATAATAACTTTGGTTCTAATTGGGTGAGCGTGATGAAACGTATTGTATAGATTCATTATATCAACACCTTGACATAGTTTGATGATCAGAATTTTCTGTTTAGGCCAAGTAGCGATAAGTAATTTGATTGGCCAAGACTTTGGAACATAACAACTGCTTTTAATTGACTGAGTTCAATGATTAAACGTGCTAATGATGATAATAATAATGATAATAATAATAATTTATTTTTAATATAGCGATTAACATAAAATCTCAAAACGATTGACAACAGTTACATAGCTAAAATGAGACAGAAAAGTAAAAGGAATGACACTACCAAGAAATGAAAATAACAATGGTGCTCAGATAAAGTAAACCTTTCTAAAAACAAAGAAGTGTTTTAAATGATGATTTAAAAGAATTTTAATTTGTAGACGCGTTTTTGTTTTAAAAAAAAAACATTTTCTGGTTACTTTGGTAAAGATAACTACGGGTTTTATTCACCTTTTGTCGTCTACTGCCATACGACGTTGAAAACACCAGTTCTCGTCCGATCACTGAAGTTAAGCAACGTCGGGTCCGGTCTGTTTTATTCGCCATATGTTATGATTTTGCTGATCATTACTCCCAGACAGATGCGACTTTATGGTCTTCACACTGGGGCACAGAAAGACCCCCACTAACATCCCCAATCACCACTATTTTCATCCAAACTCTAGGCTCGCCACAAGTGACTGAAAATTGACCAAAAAATGACCCGAAAAGGGGGAAAATTGGCCAAAAATCGCCAAGAGACTGTATTTCAATAAAGGTGAAATTTTGAGATCGGTCCTTCTGACTGTGAAATAATCAAGTTGAGTCCATTACCCCCCCCCCCCCCATATGATGCGTTAAAAAATGATCAAAAATTGTCATCAATATCAAATTCCACGTGTTTTAAAAAACACAAAAAATATTAATTCGAAATTACATGTTATATAAAAGGACATAGTTAAAAATGTAAAAATAGAAAACTGAACATTAATTAATTATATAATAAACATTAATTAAAATGCGAATAGTTATCAATATCATATTCCACGATTCTTAAACTACATAAGAATAATAATACGAAATTAAAGTACATAAAATCACCAATCAGGGATTACTTAAAGTATACATCGGGTAAAATGGTTGATTAGTATCCTATATAGACCATATAATAGTCCTTTACATCTACCGTCTTCATTAGCCCAATCGGTGCAGGAGAGTGGGACGTTAAACTCTATTTCAATTCATTTCATTTACATAATCAATTTCTTAGCAATTTTAAATATATGTGGGTCAATGAAGCGTCGGACATGCTTTCATTCCAAAAATTGTCGATTACAGAACCATCCATTGTGCCCGTTAAAAAGCTTATGGTGCAACCCACCTGACTATCATACCACCACCCTCCTCCAAATCTCTTGGCACAATCGTAGCCTCCAGTATCATCACCGTCATAGGTTGAGAAGGGATTGTTGTTTAAGTTGATAGTACCAGTCAAACTATCACCACATGGTATCCCAACATCAGTGTAGCCACCGATATCAAGTTTATAGGATGTTGATTTATTACCTATGGTAAAGTTGTAATAATTACTGATGCACATTGAAGCATTGGATGTGTACAGGTGAACACCCAGCGTGTAGGTACTATTAGGATTATCAAGGAGATAGAGAACATTTTGCAAACCTAACCATTTGTTAGAAGCAACATTACCGAAACCTTCTTCATACTCTACCAGTGTTCTATTAAAGCTCTCGCTTGAACAGTACTTATTACGACTGAGTATCCCTGTCCATCCACCATCGACAAATGAACACAGTACCTCAAACGAATTAGGAGATGTTGCTGGTTTTATGTTAGTCAGTACATCGTTAGTTGAATTTAAACCTTTCTGGAAACCTTCTGTACAGTCTGTAAAATTAACATAGAATGGTAATTTAGATGAAAAGATACGTCCTAATTGGTATTTGTTTAGGAGCAATAGGGAATTTTATTTTCAATGACATTGTTCATTGGCAATGGCAAATATCGTTGTAGATGGTTTTAAGAATATAGGCCTACCGTGTTTCGTTGTATACGACTAAAGAGACAACGTGTTTTGACGTGTGTTCCGATTTGCGATGGCGGAGAGTGGTATTCTTGTGATTAGCGAAGGCTAGGCGCATATTAATATGGCCCACCGATCGCTTAAACGAGAGGTTTGAGTAGGCTGCTTTGATGAATCGGATTTGGCCGTTGTGCTCAGATAAATGTATGGCAATATCTGTAGCAGGCTGTCCCCCTAATAGGTCTTTAGATGCTGTTGAGATCTTGGGCGGCAGCAGCGAGGATAACATAAAATGGTAGAATACTTTTCATCCAGGTGTTCAATATGAGAGATTAGTGTTCGGCGAGGAGATAGGTTGATTACAATAAGCACATATATCGTCACGTTCAATCGCCGGATATAACAAAGACTCTTAAGGAAAATTCCCCGTGCACTCAAGGCACGTTACCTTTGGACTCGTACACTGCAAATCCTCTTCGCTGTTACAATTTCAAAAGATTAGATATTGCACGACAGTCTGCAGAGGTTACAAAAACCACATGCGTTATCTGTTAGGCGTGTTCCTGTGATATTTGTTTAGGAGCGATAACATTGTTATTATCAAGGATAATTGGTGTTATTCGTATTGGGTGATGGCAACTGTAATGGACACACAGTATATTTGGCTGTATCATTTCAGAGCGCTTGAAGGGTCTTATTGAAATGAAATGAAATGAAATGAAATGGGGTTTAACGTCCTACTGTTCTGCTCCTAAACTGGGCTAATGAAGAGGGGCGGGGGGGGGGGGTCTTATTGCGTATTCAAATTAAATGAATTTTGTAATGGTCTGTTATCTGTGCAGCATTATTGACGTTTGTATACTGTTTTTTTTATGAATATTGAATTCTTTTATAGAAGCTTTCTTGATTTAGTATCCAAATATGGGGTTTGGGTTATGTTACATGTAAACCCAATGACAAATGTTATCGCTTTAAATATATATATGTTACTGGTCATGTTGATAATTGGCCTGACAAGGACAGCTGTCTAGTCGTTCGGATGGGACGAAAAGCCGAGGTCTCGTGTACACATTGGCGTGCACGTAAAAGATCCCTTGGTAGTTGTAAATCGATACAAGAGTAGGCCATAGTACCGCTGCCTGGGCAAAATTTCCCTCATGGCCCACTGTATGGCGTATGCCTGTCTTCATAAGCCCAGTCAGGAGCAGAACAGTAGGACGTTAAACCCCATTTCATTTCATGTTTATGTTTGTGTATTCCACACTCATCTTTGTATATGACAGGTTCGGGTTTATCACCAAGAGTTAAATTGTACAGGCATATATTGCTATAAGACAGTATTTGAAATATGAAATTCCAAATGAATGTATAACAAGTAGTAAACAATGTATCATAACTTTACCTATAATGGTATATTGACAACGGTCTCCATAGTAACCTAAAGGACAAGTACAATCGGACCTATCACATCCTATAGTCTGTAGAAAGAAAACAAGAGAAAACAATGCGCATTATACATATGTACATATTGATGCTTACCCTTTTTACATAAAACATATTGATCCTTACGTTTTACATAAAACATATTCATGCTTACATTTTACATAAAACATATTCATGCTTACCCGTTTTACATAAAACATATTTATGCTTACCCTTTTTACATAAAACATATTGATGCTTACCCGTTTTACATAAAACATATTGATGCTTACCCGTTTTACATAAAACATATTGATGCTTACATTTTACATAAAACATATTGATGCTTACATTTTACATAAAACATATTGATGCTTACATTTTACATAAAACATTGATGCTTACCTTTTACATAAAACATATTGATGCTTACCCGTTTTACATAAAACATATTCATGCTTACCCGTTTTACATAAAACATATTCATGCTTACCCGTATTACATAAAACATATTCATGCTTACATTTGTTCATAAAAACCTAATACTACTTTGCCACGACGCCGCCAGTACTAAATTGTATTTATACTTTTATACGTTCGGTTCGGTGATCGGGTGTAACGCCCTACTTCTTTGGGCTAACAAATCTAGTGAAAATGGGCATCGACGTGTCTCCTTAGTTTTCATCGAATTCCAATTTTCAAGCGTTCGTTTACGTGCACGCCACCGAGTACACGAGTGGGCCTTTTTCATACCATTGGAAGGACTAGATACATTTCCTTACCAGGCCATCAGTCCCGAACCACTGTCAAAGATTTACGTCAGCGAGTGTTTTGTTAATGGAATCAAGTTGACATGTAGCCTACTCGTACCAACCTTTGTGAAACAGGAACAACCAGTTGTGTCATCAGACATAACACAATCTCTACCATCTTGATATAATTTACAGGATGAATCCAGTTCACAATAAAGATATCTTTTACAATTTACTTTCTCTGTACACGCTCTAGGACAATCCATTTCCCGTGAAACAAAAATGGTTTCTAGAAATGTACTAGGATCACAAGTATTAACGACGACATCAGATTTACTGTATGAAGCAAACCGGTGACCAGCAACTGAAATAAAAACATGTGGTGCACTGAACCGAATCCACTCTTGCAAATACATTGATGAGCAATCAACTACTTGAACAGTATCAATGGTATGTTCAAAAATACCAAAGTACTGAGACTTTATTATTACGAGCTCAAATTTAGATTTTGAGTTAAGTTGACCGGTAGATGTGATGCGCTGTGCCTAATCCAGTCTTAAAGTACTGAGACTTTATTATTACGAGCTCAAATTTAGATTTTGAGTTAAGTTGACCGGTAGATGTGATGCGCTGTGCCTAATCCAGTCTTACCTGAGTAATATATGAGATGCAAAGACGATCTGTCATAGGGAGTATTATAGGGTTCTGTATTAGGGGATCCTGTTTACCTACTATATAGGGTAAAGCTGCTAAAGAGCCTTACTACTACTACTACGTCCCTGGGTTTGTCTTTTTTTTACTCCATAAACATCATAGAGGAATAATACAAACCAGAACAGGATGGTTGAGTACAGTTGACACTGTTGGTAAAGTCACCATTGCAACTAGCTCCACCATTAGATGGTGTTGGATTGTTGCATTGTCTGGTTCTGTACATAATTCCTTCACCACATGAAACAGAACATGAACTGTTTGTCCAAACACTCCAACCACCATCAATCGCTGTAATGATAATAATTGTTGTTTAAAAGATTCGCTAAAACTGGTAAGGTCTTCATAAAAGCTTCTTATAATGATACAGTAGAATATACGCTTATCCTAAGCACGTTCAATATCTGAGTTGCATTTAACATAACCTTCCATCGACGTAATATCGCAGAGGTAGTGGACTTAAGAAATTGGCAATAGAAAAGTGATGTTTTGGGTCGCTCTCGCATTTTTGTCCCCTGCCTTTCGAAGATTAGGCGAAACAGTTGTAAGTAATTTCATTGGTGGAGACTTGGAACACAATAATTTAATTAAGGTAGCATGTTCAAACTAGTGCTGTTTGGGACCATTTCACACTAAAATTCGTTTGGGCTACTATTAAGGGATATCTCTCATTTTATGCTCAGGATTTACTGTTACGCCTCATTCTTAACGTTTAATACATATATGTTATCCAATCTATTGTCAGCAAGATCCTTGTTATGTTTTTACATATTAAAATTACGTACCTTGCTTAGAACAATCACAGGACATCGCTTATTTATGGAATAGAAGAATATAAAAGCCATTGATATCATAATATTTATTTTGATATTAAAACTGCCTATTGCAGGTCTTTTTATGGCCTCAAATGTTATATAGATTACTGCGGTTTCGATTCCCCAGTTGTACGTGGCAATGAGTAAGGTCGTTCGTCCAACCTCGTGGGTCCACCGGTTTCCTCCCACTGCTAAAAGACCATATGTTAGTCCCGAAATGACCTGGTTTGTGTCGAGTGGACGTTAAACTCCATTCCTCTCTCTCTATATATAGATTATTTTTGAAACATTTACTAACATGACAAGCCCATAATCAACTCTCTGGACCATCGGATGCCTCCGATTTTAGGCAGATTAAAATACTGCGGCCATTTAACAGTATAATGATAAATAGGAAATCAAGACTTCAATGATCTACACTTCAATTAGTCAAAACTTTAAACACTCATAAAATCGCACAAAATCTAGTACTTTGAAATTTTCAATATATTAATTTTCATTATCTATTTATGGACTGTTATAGCCAAATCGGCCAGCTCTTTATCTAAATCTTACATAATGCATCTTTAACCAATATTATCCAACAGAGCGTCTCATAATTCTTACATAATGTATATCTTTAACCTAACCAAGATTATCCCACAGAACGTCTCATAAGCTAATGTTAGCTCATTATTGTAATTCTGTTGGGGTTTTTTTGTATTGGTTTTTTTTTGGAGAGGGTGGGGGAGGGGCGGGTCTCTGAGCTGCAGATCAACACCATATTTTTTCAGAGTATCACTTACGTATGAATATATCACGACTGGTACTATAAACTGTGTGTTATTATTTTATACGAGTTAGTATAATTGTATGGATACCGAGAGATACCTTGTCATGTCATACTATCATGTTAAAGGCCTCCCAGGTTTAGATTTCAACAACGAAATATAAAAATAATATAGTACTTACTACCCCATAACGGGAACCATACAACGTCATCAATATTAGATGTATAATTCTGAAACTGTATACTTGCCATTTTACCATTGTAAATTTTATTTTCTATGAAAACGCCATTTGCACCACAGTTGTATTTGGACTGACCATCTATTGTTACTGTAACACCTTTACATGATTCACCACTCAAATACAGGTAAAATAACTCGAAAGGAAAGATCATATTCCTTATATTACAAGAACACGTTAAACTATCGGTTGGGGTTAATGTATTCGATAAATACAATGCCGAATCTAGGTTACTTGTAAAGGTGTTGGTATTTATGATGTAGTTAACACTGATTTCTGTAAAATATTTATTTAGTTTACGTGTATTAACGCATTATAGCCTGCTGAACGGTTGATTCAGTTTTGTCGTGAAAGTGTAATTAAATACAATGCCAATTATAAAATTGACAGGTTTTGAACATCTTTACTCCAAGAATGTATATGTCCCTGGTGCATTGATGACATACTGTTAACTACAGTGTTTAGAAAGCAGTGACCTTGAAGGTGGCGGGGGTCAAGTATGGCTTTGTATCGCCCACATATCAATCCGGAAATCCGTGTGTCCGTTCGCATTGTTTGTGGACTCTCTACTGGTAGCAGTACTTATCTGATTTGAATGTAACTTAAAATAATAAGTTATATCCCAAAGATGGACAGAAGGTTCCCCGTAGCAAACTACATGGTGTGTATCCATCTAGATTAGCACATTTGTTGCAGAAAAGTAGGACGTATTTGATCTAATCGAGAGTTGGATGGCCGAGTAGTAAGCGCGTGTACGTTGTATCATGAACATTGAATTATGAACCTGTGTCTTTTGTCATTAAATCATATAAGTGGTCTTTATTATATAAACTAATGTGTAGTATGTATAGAAAGTGGTTAGGAATTATACCGTTGTCATTAATTAGCAGGTGCGTGACTATATCTGTAAAATACGTCACTACTGGTGTAAAAGCGTGACTAATTATAGCCCCCATCAGACCAAAGCACGATATGGTTCAGATCTAAAAGAATTGGCGATCCAAGGAAACTATTAATATATAGCATGTTGCGTATAATCGCGGTATAAATTTGATGAAATTGCTTCAACCAGTCTCCGGGATTGCCAGACTCGGTAGCTACACGATGTCGATCAAACAAGACCCCTACACGCTCTCAACACGACCAACGCGGCCCAAGAAGACCGTAACACGATAGAACACAATCCCGATGCGATGCAACAAGACACGCTTACGATCAACTCGATGTTGATCAAATCATCTCTCTACCAATCAGATTCCTTCCCGACGAAGTAGACCTTAATACGACCAATCACGATGCAGCACGCTTTGAGCAAATTTCAAGCTCAGAATCATATTTCCAATCCATATTTGTCTGTGAGGTCCATTCATATAATACATAATAGGGATTATATTTTAGATAGATTGCTGGTCTCATCGTATAAACTACCAAGTGTACTAGTGTATCCAAAAATTATATTCTTCTATTCTTCAAATATAAGCCTAGAACGGGCAACAGGAGAAAAGGCACAAAAGGCGTCTAGGAAAAAGCCATGACAAAGGAGTCACCTATTCCATTGGTACCTCCCTCTGCTACAAAATCAATACCTTCACAATCAATACCTCCAACACCTATGTTACCTCTACCTTCATCTCCGACTACTGACGAACCAGATGATGAATGTGCTGTTCATACATCTGAACACTCTGATCAATCTGACTATTAATGATATAGTGTTGGAAGGCACCCTGAAGTTGTACACCAAGCTACAATATCTATCTCCAGATATTCTGCAGAGGTCGGGATGGATCGGGAGAGGATCTGTACAATATCTGGACAGAAGCGAGTTTGTCGTGTTGGGGCCGTGATTAGGTCGAGTAGGTCTTATCAAGCTCTTGTTGAATCTGAACTGGAGACCTTCTCCAGCTTTACAACCCGACCTAAAATAATTTGGGTCGTGCTTTGGTGATGGGGGGCTGATGGAATACAAAAACCTGAACAATAGTGGTGTATATCATTCAATAGTCACGGTTTTAACACCTTAGTGACAAAACACTTAGTTAATCACAACCAACTAATAAAAATTCATGACGACTTTGACCTGTTAGTGTCGTATATTTTCATTTATAAAAGTTATCTGTTGCTTAGTCAACGATATCAATTTTACAGTGAGATGTTGCGCTAATGTTTATTTCCGAACAGAAGAGGGTTTTTTAGCACCGAGGCCATCTCTGTATGCTAATGATAAGTAAGATTATTTTTGTGTATAATTTCCTAGCAATTTCACAAAGAAGTATAATTTGTAAGATTTTTGGGATCTAGCCAGTATATAATATTCTATAATTTCCATCATTAAACGTACATCAATACAGTGCATGAGGGTTGGGTGGCCGAATGGTTAGCACCTGTGCGCTGTATCATAAGGTCTCTTATTGTGTCAACTGGCGTGGTTTTGATTCCCCGGTTGTACGTGACAAGGAGTAGGGCCGCCTGTCCAACCTCGTGGGTTTTCTATGTGTCCTCCGGCTGCCCCCCCCCCCACACACACTGCTAAAGACCCCTACGCGCAAAAGAATTATTGAAATAAAATTGGACCATATCATTAGTCTCGAAATGTCCTAGTTTGTGTCGAGTGGACGTTAACTCTCCCTCTCTCTCTCTCTCTCTCTCTTACAGAACATAGACAGTATATAAAACCACTTACCACTGCAGGAAAACTCGTATTTTACATAATCTACACCAGTATTAGATATATAAGGGGAGTTTATGACACAGGATCGTTGATAAGAGCAGGCTTTGTAAACTGTCAAGGAATCTTGTTCACTGAAACTTTGTTCTGTATCATCATCGCTATATGAACAACACGGACTAGTTGTACAATCATCCTCATCTTGTGGTGGTGAACAGGTTGATGTTTTAGTATAGTAATGTAAACCTCGAATGGCGATTTTACCACTAGAACAAGTTAGGGTATGATTAGAACATGGAGACCCGGGTTGTCTGTAACAACCATAGTAGGTGTTCTCTGATACCATTACTATAATACAATAGAGATAATATAATAGTGACCCGGGTTGTCTGTAACAACCATAGTAGGTGTTCTCTGATACCGTTACTATAATACAATAGAGATAATATAATAGTGACCCGGGTTGTCTGTAACAACCATAGTAGGTGTTCCGTGATACCGTTACTATAATACAATAGAGATAATATAATAGTGACCCGGGTTGTCTGTAACAACCATAGTAGGTGTTCCGTGATACCGTTGCTATAATACAATAGAGATAATATAATAGTGACCCGGGTTGTCTGTAACAACCATAGTAGGTGTTCTGTGATACCATTGCTATAATACAATAGAGATAATATAATAGTGACCCGGGTTGTCTGTTACAACCATAGTAGGTGTTCTGTGATACCATTACTATAATAAAATAGAGATAATATAATAGTGACCCGGGTTGTCTGTTACAACCATAGTAGGTGTTCTGTGATACCATTACTATAATAAAATA